AGACCACACAGTCGCCCGAGACTGCAAAACCCAACACACCAACCTGTGCACCGCTTGGATTGATTACAAGAAAGGTGAAGACCACAGTGGTGCCTGTGGTCATCGGGGCCCTCGGGGCAGTCACCCCCCAACTGGAGCAGTGGCTCAAACAGATCCCAGGAACAACATCAGACATCTCAGTCCAGAAATGTGCAGTTCTAGGCACAGCCAAGATACTGGAGGAGAACCCTCAAGCTCCCAGGCCTCTGGTAGAGGACCCGAGCTCAGAGGATGAAAGAGACCACCCACAGAGGGTGAGAGGGGAATTTTTATATATATATATATATATATATATATATATATATATATATATACACACACACACATATATATATGAGGTGAAACATCTGGTGGTCTGGTGTGATGCAAACCATCTAATCCTGAATGTCAACAAAACAAAATAAATTGTTGTTGATTTCAGGAAAAATCAGCCAAGTCACACACCCCTCCTCATCAGTGATGCTGCAGTGGAACAGGTCAGGAACATTAAATTCCTGGGGATACAGATTACTGACACTTTGACCTGGTCCCTCCAAATCTCTAATCTGGTGAAGAAAGCTCAGGAACGTCTGCACTTTTTACATCAGATTAGAAGACCAAACCTCCCACCTCCCATCCTCACCATTTTCTACAGAGGGACAATAGAGAGCATACTGACAAACAGTGTCTCTGTCTGGTTTGGATCATGCAACATTGGCAATGTGTGGAGAGAGTGGTGAGGACAGCTGAGAAAATCACTGGGACTGAGCTTCCTTCTATCTGTGACTCTGCTGGCAGTCGCTGCCCATCCAGGGCTCAGGCAATAATAAAAAACCTCTTCCACCCTCAGCATAGTTTGTTCTCCCTGTTGCCCTCTAGGAAAAGGTTCAGCAGCTTCAAATGCAGAACAACCAGATTCCACAACAGTTTCATCCCTCATGTCATAAAGACACTAAGCTGCCATTTGTTTAATCTTTCATTGCATATATTTATATCAATACTTTTATTACTACTTATTTATTTATTATATTGGAGCCTTGCAACGAAATTTCTTTCAATATTAAATGACAATAAAATCTGTCTATTTCTATTTACTTGGTTTAAATTGCAGCACTAAGTTAAAACTCACAAGTAAAGATTAATTAACTGTCACAACTTATAAAACTATTTTTAGATAACTTGTATCTTGTTATATCAACTTCATAAACTTTAATTTTCAAGGCAGACTTTCATTTTCAAGTTAAACTACTTTCGAATGTTTTACAGTGTAGTGACCAAAGCTGACCTACATCAGACTTGATCTCCCCCATGGGAGCTCATTTTAAGCCTATTTCAAACATTTATGGGTCTCATATGAAAATACACTCTGGGCAATAAAAATTAAAAGTTAGAAAAAAAAATGATTTGATAAAATCAATACGAAGATGTGAGAAACTGGCCCAGAAAGCATAATTTAAACAATTTATTAGTTTTCAAAGGTTTTCCTTTTCTTTTCTTTTCTTTTTTTAATAAAAGTGCCAATTCTTCCGTCTGCTAATCACCATGATTAATCTAGGGAGACGAGTCCACTTAAAAATTAGTTTTATTTATCAGTAAAAGACATTGTATGATTAGCTGGATGACCCAGCTGATGATTATTAGCAGCTACGCAGGTTTATATTTATCACATGAAGCAGCTCCGAAAACAATCATTTGCACCATTAAGCCTTCTGTTTTAAATATTAGATTTTGAAACGCAACATCCTGGAGCAAACTGTTTTATTTTGAAAGTAAGCCCCCTCTGCCTGTGTCTGCCTGGCTTGACGCAGCTCTCCTAAACTCCAGCACCTGAACGCCGCGCTGCGCGGACCCGGACGCATGGGGAGGAACACGCTCGCTTCTAACTACACTTTACCTTTTAATTAAAACTTGTGCTTATCATACACCTGCTTCCTTTTTTCGTGTTCTGGTTCATATTTGTCATCCTGCTGACGGACTGAGTTTGGATACTGGCAGAGGGGCGGGAGGAGGAGGCAGAGGAGCGCTGACGGCTCTCAGATGGAACACCGGACTCCTGGATCTCAGGGCGCACGGCAAACCCGGAGTGAGTGAAGCTGGTGTGTGGACGCTGCTCCCGGTAAGAAGCGCTGGCAAAGTTTTCATCATTTTTGCTGCTTTTATTTGCACTTTTCTTGCTGCGCTGCCCCGTGTTCAGCACTGAATGGGTTGCACAACAGAACATTTCTGGATGTGATGTCGCTCTTTGTCATTTACGCTCTCTACAGAACGGATTTTTAGAAATTACAAGTCTATGCAATAAAATTAGCCTTTGATCTTGTTACGAAGAGGGTGCTTGGACGTATTGACTGCCTGAATCATGGAAGTATTTAAAGATTCAGTTTTTAAATATTTGGTTTTAATTAGAACCAGAATCATTTCATTCCGTTTGTCTGGCAGAGTTACATCACAAATGTCAGGCTTTCTGAAATATATGGATCCTTTTTTGGATAAACTGTTGTTTTTGCAGATGTGGAGATAATTTTAATTTTATTCAGCATTAGACACTTTTAAGCTCCTGCTTTAAAATTTAATTACGATAAATGATTGAAAATGATTCTACATTCCTAAAATAAAACCACCTCCAGGGCGAGGTCTTGTTGATGGATAAATATACAGTATTGTGTTTTGGAGAGTTATATCAAGAGATAATTTAATTCCATCATGGCCAGACTGTCAGCAAGGGAGGCTTGTAATGCATTTCAAAAATAATTTTCAAGGTACATCAGCCCATTTTCAGGTAGAAGAAATTACTTCCTTTTTTAATTTTCTGTTTAATTGATATCTACCCAACAGTCACTGTTGAATAACAAAAAAGCTCTCAAATGTGCAGCCCTGGACTCCTTTCATTGTAAAAGCTGAGTTTCCATAGGAAACTGAGTGAAAAAGGAGGGATAGTGGTGAATACAGTCTCATTATTTTCATCAAAGATGCACACACAGAAGGACTCCTCTTTAAAGTGAGAGCTGGCTTGCCAGCTCTCCTGTTGGACCTTTTACCCAGATGCCAGAGAATGCTGCCCTGTGCTGTTTTGTCCAAAATAGTTCAGATTTTTGTTCTAACTTCTTAAAGACGTTGTATCTTTTGGAATGATTTCCCCCCCAGGATCTCAGGGGATCCATAAATGATGGAAAGAGCATTTGGCGGATCAAACATGGGCAGCATTTGGTATGTGTGTAACCATGGCAATGTGGGTGTGTTGTAGAATCTTCCACCTTGTATCTTCTCTTGCCTGATAAACATTTGAAGGGATATTAACCCTTTCATGCATAGTGGTCACTACAGTGGACAGCTATCTAAAAGCCATTTTCTTGTGCTTCTTGTGGATTTTTGTGTTATAAATGCACACAGACCACTGAAGTGGACACTAATGCATCACTATCAAATACTGGCCATAAGCTGCAAATGCAAGAAATGATTTTTGTTAAATCCAATATGGCCGACAGACAAAAAAGCATGCC